GACGATCGACGGCGGCTATGTTTTCTTGACCCTTCCTACCGGTGTTTTACCATTTTGCAAGCCTTTTAAGAAAAAAATTTAACCTGAGGTTAAGCTTAACTTTACATTGGTTTCAAATAACACAAACCGCCAAGAACTCTTAAAATATTTGCCACATAAGTTCACTTCAATATTAGTTAATAGTTGGTTGACTTTTTCCAAACTAAAATTTTTGTTTTCTGACAACTTTTTAAACTGGAGGTTATTTATTTAAATCCAAGTAAATTTAAAATACCAGAAACCGTTAAGCACCTTTTAAATTTTAGTTATATTAAGCTGTTTTAATATAAGTTTACAGTTGGATGCAGTTTTCCAAACTGAAACCTTTGTTTTCTGACAAACTTCTTAACTGGAGGTTAAATTTTATTTCTAAAAATTATACATTTTCTTACTGATCGGTTAGAGAGCGTATTTAAAAGTCTGGTCTGAAGACCAGGCCTCCAGTCATGCTTTCTAATTTAATTTTCAAACGGCTTGAGCCTTGGCTTTGGCCAAAGTAGGAAATGTGAGAGAGGAAAGTGCCACCAAGGTGTACGAAGCAAGAGAGGTTCTCGACCAAACAAGAGAGAGAAATTATGGTTAACCGGGAGAGGGAAACGGGGCAGGTGAGCTAAGACCCGGGAGACATGGGAGTCCGCTTGTTAGCGCATTTTAAGTAGCCGCCAAGGTTGACCCTTAGTCTTAATATTCATCACCTGTTTCCCTCTCACTCGCACTCAGTCCGTCTCTGTCGCTCCTTGAGTGAACACAAATGCAAGGCATATGCGCTTTTGGACCATGTTAATTAGCCGCCACGCCAATCGATGACAGCAAAGGAAAAAAATGAACAAAAAAATATAACAACATAGGAAAACCTAAATAGTTTGGCATTTTCCATTTCTAGGTTGGGTCATTTACGGGTGAAAATGACAAAAGAGATTACATGACCGCAGATAATGATCATTCAGCCAACTATTTTGGGGCTTGATGCCCCACAGATCATTATTCAAACGTTGCCCCGAGGCACCTGCAAATACATGTGTGCATATTTTCCAGACCGGGTCGTAAATGCTAAATGCTCGCTCCAGAGTAAATATTTAGAAAATAATAAAACCAAATTTAAATGCAGAATGGGAGAATAATGATTTAGCCGAAGCGCGTGCAGAGGAAAATAAGAACGAAAGAAAAAAGTAGAGGAAAGTCCAAAATCGCGTGGCAAACAAAAACGAAACGGCCCAAATATATTCGTATATATAAGGGGGAAACAACTGGGGACTGAGTTCTTCATAATCCCGAAACACACTGACTAAGGGCTTTTTTTTAATTGTCTCGCTAATAGCTTAGAGAACACAGCAGACCACTTGTTTTAATTATTTTGGTCTCATATCTGATATATTTCCGTACTTCAAGGACTGAAACAGTAAAACGTTTTTCCAAAAACACTTATGGTTGTTGAGGTTTTGAAATACCAACCACGAAAGTTAAAGAGCTTAATATGTTGTGTACTTTTTTTTATTACGACTGTTAATCTTAATATTACAAAAAAATTGTATCCCTGGGTACAAAACCACGATGAAAGATATAAAATTTTTCGAAAGAGATCTTATCTGGATCCTAAATAATGTATTATTATTTTTCTCCGTGTCTTAGTTCAGTATATTTTAATCATTACCTTAAAAATATCAACGATAAAGAAAGGACTTCAAAATGGATCTGTATTCCGAGAAAGTTTAGATCTGCATCAATTTATACTAACCTCACCTACTGTTTAAAATGTCTATTACAATGTTTATTGTTGATTCATGGTATTAAAAACGATCTCAAACCATATGAATACGCCTATAATATCGTAACTCCATAGATCTCATAGATGGGCTAAGGCAGCGACGGCGACGCGGGCAGAGGCGGCGGCAGCGACGGCGACTGAAGCAGCGGCGGCGGCAGAGGCGGTACGGAGGGAACGCTTACCTTGGCGCTTGGCTTAAGCTGCCGTGCGTCGTCGTGATGTGGGCCATGCAGGCGATCCATTCATCGACCTACTCCACTTTTTCTCGCTCTGCACAGTTGCACTTTGACCTCCTCTTTCTTGTTTCTTTGGATTTTCCGCGTCTTTAGTCGCTTTTCCAATTATTGCGACTTTCCTTTGGGGCGCCTGGCAAGTCGGAAAACACTTAAGACTCTACGGATCGTATATAGATCAGCCGATACACGCATACATATAGATACATACATATAGAGATGGTTGTGAGGGGAGACAAATAGACAGACGTCTAGATATATACTTATTTATATTCAAATGACAAAAGAAATGAAACGAAACAATTTTCATTTATTTTTCACTGTTGTTTTTTTTTTGTTTGGTTTTCCACGCAGCGACGTCAGCGTCGACGCAGGCAGAGGCGGGGCGTGTCAGGGGTGGCCGAGAGGGGGCTTGAGGGGGCGGGGCCGCAGTTGTCGCACACATTTTTCACATTTTCACCGTGCCGCGCGGCACACACAAATGACAACAAAAAAGAAAGAACAACATTGGAAAAAAAACAGCACTCACAAAAAAATCAAGAATTTTACATATAATTGTGGGCAGTGTGAGTTGGAAAGAGAAAGCTAAATGCCGCTAGAGGGAGAGGGTAAATTCAGATTGACAACGTCATCAACGAGAATGACAACAAAGGCGACCAACGCGACACTTTTCACAAGAAAACCAAAGGAAAATGATCTTCGGATCTATCAGTTTTCACTACACAATCATCAATTGCACTCGAAAAAAAATATGGCACCAATGTAGAATTTTACCCGCTTTATGTTTTATTTATTTTTGCATTTTTAGTATTTGTATCTGTAATTTGTTTTCCTTTTTTTGGGTGAAATAAGTGCGAAGCGATCACCGGCGTGCGCGGTACTGAAGATCGCTCTGCTCGCAGGCCTCGAAGCGCTGCCGGCGTCGCAGTCGCGCCAGGCGCCGGCAGAGGCAGCGACGCCGGCAGCAGCGGGAAAATCCAGTCTATATACCAATGTTCATACAGTGGTTACAGGTTTCATTTAAGAAAAACATATAATTAATTTAGAAAATGTATAATATTCATTAAGTTATAAATATAGTATAATACTATTCTGTAAATAAAAACATATTTGAAAAACCACCCACATTTTTAACTACTTTAGAAATACTATTGTTTATCTCCCCATTTTCGTGCAAAAAATGTTCTGGCAATTATAAAGCATCTTGTTTATGCAAAATAAATTATACTCAAAACGACCATAAATTCACATATGAGGTGTTCGAAAAAGATGTTCTTTAAATCAACATAATACGTCACCTAGGAGATAATATTTACTGTAGCAATTCGAAAAGCGAATGTTAGTCCCAGAAGTGTGGGTGAGTGGTATTCAAACTGTCTAACTGGCAGTGTGTTTGTGGGAAAAGTGTTTTTCACGCAAATTGCTTGCAACGTCAACGGCCAGCGACGACCCAAAGAAATAGTATTTGGGAAATGCGTTTATGCAAGGCCCAAATTTGCGATCTAGTCCTTAATCAATAACATATTTTATTAAATTTAAATTAGATAAATAAAGAAATATATTTAATAAGACAAAGTTCTTAGATACTTATAGCATACATCTCATATTTCTATCAACCTTTAGAAGATCTATTTAGTACCAAAACCTTGAGAGCCTTTCCGCATAAACGAGGTATTTAACGAAATCGTTAACCAATCACTTAGTGCCATGGCCAAGAGCCTTGTGAACCATTCTCGAATTGCATTCGATGATTTTCGTTGGGGAAAGCGGAAAATGGAAAGGGGTGGCTGGGAAAATGCCTGTCTGTCCTCGGCCTTGGTCCAAAATGCCTCGAACCCACGACAGATGCGATGAGCAACAAGTGGGAGGGCAGGGCGATACAGATAATCACGGCATCGAAACCCATCCATCCATCCAGCCAAGCATTTGATGAAATAAAACAAACAAACAAGCCGTGTTTGTGGGGGAATATCGATTACACAAATGACATGCAACAGAAAATCGATGGCAAGGGGCCCAGGAAAATGGGAAGCGTTTTCCGATGATAACAAGATGGCACGGCCTGCTCGATTTTCATCTGCCGAATGGCAATCGAGGCAAATGCAAAGTGCAGTTTCTGCAAAATTTCAATTAATCACAAATATTTGCATTCGCCTGATGGAAAACAGCAGCCAACGGAGATACTCGGATGTGAATGAATGGGGCAGAAAACAATGTTGTTACACTTATAAGTGCGTTTTCATAGCCTCTCTAGATTAACAACATAAACATACACAGTGACCTTCACTCGTTTTTCATTTTCATTTTCATTTCACTCTCAAGGGGCGAAAAGCGAAGATTGCGCAAAGAGCCGTCGACCGTGTTGCCCTGTTTTCGTCAATTGTCGACCATATCTTTTTTAGTGCGCCTCTTTATTTGTTTAAAAAGAAAACTCATGAAAAAAGCAGCATTAAAACTATGAAACGGATCGAAGTCTAGCCAAAGGGAAGGTCAGCAATCGGGGAACCGAAGATTAGTGTACCCTATAGTGATATGATAACCAATTTAAGGTATATTCTTTTAATAGGTATATATAGAAAATTTGTAGCCTAATTATTTTTAGTTGAGCTTTCTCTATAAGAAAATCCTGACTCAAATAAAATATATAATTCTTGTCGCCTCATTTTAGAAAGAAATCATAGGTAGTCAAACAAAGATTTCAACAAGCTTTTGTTTTAAAGATAATAACTTAAGTATATGATATACATTGTATTCCCAAAGGATCAATATGATTCCTTCTAAAAAATAAATCTATAAACATTTTTTTTGAGTAGAAAATATTTATTGATTTCTTTAAACATGCTGAGATATTTATGGTTATTTTAACCTTAGAAAATAAATTAAACTGAATCATAAATTGCTCAAAATCACCATACCCTGCTAAATATTTAAGTCGCAGAAGAAAACCCACACCCCTTGCCAAGTGGGTGGTTTGATGGGGATGTGGGGTGATTTTCCGCGAGAGAAACATTTTAATGCATTTTCACAATTCACAATTCCTGGCATTGCCTTTCATTTGCCGATTGATTGCCGTTGATGTTCGCACGAAAAACGTTTTGCGTGAGTAACAAGAAAATCGGGGGAAAATGGGGGGCGGGAAAAGCGCGAAAAGTGGGTGGAGGAAAATTGTAGGAATGTTTGAGAGGGCAGCGCCGATGATGGATTGGCGTGAATGGATCATCCGAACGGATCATCATCTGCCAAGTGTATAAGACCCAACCTCTTTTTCACTCTTCCGCGTTTTATTAGGAATTTTGGCATTTGGCTGCCTTGTTTTATATTTCTAATACAAGTGTTCTATGATTTTGCAAGCACCAAAATGTTTATTCAAACGATGTAAATAATATTTAAAAGATTGGCGAACTACTGATTGATAAGTTTAGTGATGAAAAACGAACTAAACAAAGTTCAAGGGTGGGATATTTTGGTTTATGTTTAGGAAATTATAAAATTGTATTACTTAAGTTGACCTTTCTGGTTGATCAGTAAGTGGGGAAATGTTTAAAGATCCGAATCCTTTGCTTGGCCAAGCTCGACTTGTAAATAGGTATATTCTTATAATACATGGCTTTTACTCACCTGCAATGAGAAGAAAAGAAACATTAGTTGTTTAATGTAAAAACTCAAGTATTTTAAACTTATAGACCCTTATACTATGAATTATTTATGTCTCAATGTTAATTAAATTAAATTAAATAGAGTCTTATCCTACAATTAATTTTATACAATGGACAGTATTTCTCCTTTCAGTGCTCCGGCTTTGCTTTTGATTGGGGGTCAGGCCCTGACGTCACAGCCGCAGTGACCCCATGACCTCGTTTGGCTTGATTCTTTTCCACTTCTCAGCCGTTTTCTTATTTTTCGCTGCGTTTCCGCTGGCTAAAAGGACATTGACACAATGCAGGCTAAAAGGATAAAAGGCTAAAAACGTGACTTTGGGGCAAGTGTGACGCTTTTCACCACACACTTGCATGCTCACATTTTTCCGGTTGTCGTAGATCGAGGTGAAGCTTTTCAGCTTGATGACGTCAAAGAGCTTGTTAAAAGGTCAATCATTAGTTGGTGACGAGACGAAAAAAAGGATTTAAGGATTTGGAAACCTTTCTTTAATATACTTAACATTAAGTATTTTCAATGATTCAATGATTAATTCACTTTAATTACACTGAAGTTATTTATTTTTAAAATATTATGTAAGTAAATGCTCGATTTCCTTGCAAAATTATTATATCTTTGGAATACTTTGGTAAAGGTTTCTGGTTTTCGAGGATGATAATGGAACCTGAATCGGTTCTAATCGGTTTTTGGTGACCGTTACACTTTCGGTTATAAATTTTCAAAAAGGGTTTGAGTACAGACTTTTCATTTAAACTTAAAAAAGAGAAAACTTTAAGGAAACTTAAGCTTTTGCGAGCTTGAAAAGCCTTAAATCATTTCCCGTTAGCTTTTCTAAGCTTTTTCGAATTTCCAATGCGCTGCTGCTGAATTTTCGAAGTTTTCAACAGGCAACGTCGACGCCGGCAGAGGCAGCGACGCCCACGTCAACTGCGACTGCGACTGCGACAGCGAACGAAGCAGCGGCAGAGGCAGCGAAATTCGCTCGGCTCGTCGGCATTTGTTGCTCAGCAGGAGTCAAAGGCGAACACGTGCTCACCGCCAGTCAGCGGCGCTCGGCATCTGCGGCAGATTGCACCACCGCCGACCCAGCACCACCCAGCACCACCCACTCAGCACCACCCACTAGCCACCACCCACTGGCATCCCGCCCCCCCATAATGTCACGCTCCAACATCTCTCCTTTCCTGCGAATTTTCCTCCTTTTTTTTTGAGGCAATTGAAATGGCAAAGACAAAAGGAATACAATTGAAATAAATAAGGAAACGGGAAAATGGATAAAAAAGTTGAAGTACGAAATTAAAATGTATCTCTTATTGAATGAAATATGTCTACCAACTAAAAAATAGCAAATATTTTCAAATCTTAATTTTAACAAAAGGGAGTTTTTAGTGACATATGCCTATATGTTTAATTTAAGATTGGATAGAAAGTAAATCCATTTTGTAATTTAAAAAAGTTAACTACAAATACAAAAATAAATGAAGAGGATAGAATAAATCCTTCAACCTTGTAAGACAAAAAAGTTCATATGATTTTTAGAATTGTTCTTTAAAACTCTTTGAATTTAAACTATTTAAAAAGCAAACAGAATTATAACTTAAGCTGATAGAAACCTTTAAAGCTGATAAAACATCTACTTTGGATTGCTCCTAAAATACCTATAATACTTAGTAAAAGACAAGAAAAAAGACTCTAGCTTTAAAATTCATTAAAATTTTTCTACAGACTTGTATCGCCTGAGCTTAGCTCTTCTGCTTCAGTTAAACTGTGAAAACATTTTCCTCTGTTGATTTTGTTGTTGTTTGCATTGCCCTGCGAAAAGCCTAAGGCAAAAGCCTCCGCAGCCTCGAATTTCCTACTTTTTTGTGGTCTATTCCTCTGCGAGAGATAAGCACCTCCACTCGATGGTGTTCAATGCTTCCTGTTCGCCTTTCCCGCTTTCCACGACTTTTCCTCGACCACCACCCTCATAAATATGCAAAGGAAATGCAAACCGAAGCAAACGAACCAAAGAAAACGCCCCCCGCCGACCGAAAAACAAATGGAGATGGATTGAGGAGATGCTGTCAGAAATTTCAACGCCGAATGCCACGCCCATTTCCGTTTTCCGCGACAGGCGGCAATTAAGAAATTACCTGAAGACATTTCCCACGCCTCAAAATTGTGGTGACCTCTTTTTGTAGACAGGGACTATTTGTTTTGCTCTTACGTTTAATGTCTGGCAACTTTTCTCATTTGATGGTTTAGGAAGGCAAATGGGATTTTTTAGCGGTTATTCAATTGTAGATTCGCCATATACAACCAAAAGACCGACAGTTTTGAGCAGCTAACATCCTAAGCTAACAATCCCAATCATTTTAAAGGAAATTTAATTTTTGACCCATTTTTGCATTTTTTGTCGTTTATTTTTGGGATTCTGATTTTGGTCAAAAATACTCATTTTTTAACGGTTTTTTGATTGTAGTTTAGCCAAATCAAGTCGTACAGCCAAAAGACCGACAGTTTTGAGCAGCTAACATCCTAAACTAACGATCCCAATCATTTTAAAGGAAATTTAGTTTTTGACCCATTTTTTCATTTTTTGTAAGGGGTTGCATCGTTTATTTTTGGGATTCAGATTTTGGTCAAAAATACTCATTTTTTAACGGTTTTTTTATTGTAGTTTAGCCAAATCAAGTCGTACAACCAAAAGAACGACAGTTTTGAGCAGCTAACATCCTAAACTAACGATCCCAATCATTTTAAAGGAAACTTAATTTTTGACCCAATTTTTCATTTTTTGTTAGGGGTTGTATCGTTTATTTTTGGGATTCAGATTTTGGTCAAAAATACTCATTTTTTAACGGTTTTTTGATTGTTGTTTACCCAAATCAAGTCGTACAACCAAAAGAATGACATTTTTGAGCAGCTAACATCCTAAGCTAACGATCCCAATCATTTTAAAGAACATTTAATTTTTGACCCAATTTCTCATTTTTTGTAAGGTTGCATCGTTTATTTTTGGGATTCAGATTTTGGTCAAAAATACTCATTTTTTAACGGTTTTTTGATTGTAGTTTAGCCAAATCAAGTCGTACAACCAAAAGAATGACATTTTTGAGCAGCTAACATCCTAAGCTAACGATCCCAATCATTTTAAAGAACATTTAATTTTTGACCCAATTTCTCATTTTTTGTAAGGTTGCATCGTTTATTTTTGGGATTCAGATTTTGGTCAAATATACCCATTTTTTAACGGTTTTTTGATTGTAGTTTACCCAAATCAAGTCGTACAACCAAAAGAATGACATTTTTGAGCAGCTAACATCCTAAACTAACGATCCCAATCATTTTAAAGGAAATTTAGTTTTTCACCCATTTTTTCATTTTTTGTAAGGGGTTGCATCGTTTATTTTTGGGATTCAGATTTTGGTCAAAAATACTCATTTTTTAACGGTTTTTTGATTGTAGTTTAGCCAAATCAAGTCGTACAGCCAAAAGACCGACAGTTTTGAGCAGCTAACATCCTAAACTAACGATCCCAATCATTTTAAAGGAAATTTAGTTTTTGACCCATTTTTTCATTTTTTGTAAGGGGTTGCATCGTTTATTTTTGGGATTCAGATTTTGGTCTAAAATACTCATTTTTTAACGGTTTTTTGATTTTAGTTTAGCCAAATCAAGTCGTACAACCAAAAGAACGACAGTTTTGAGCAGCTAACATCCTAAACTAACGATCCCAATCATTTTAAAGGAAACTTAATTTTTGACCCAATTTTTCATTTTTTGTTAGGGGTTGTATCGTTTATTTTTGGGATTCAGATTTTGGTCAAAAATACTCATTTTTTAACGGTTTTTTGATTGTAGTTTAGCCAAATCAAGGCGTACAGCAAAAAGACCGACATTTTTGAGCAGCTAACATCCTAAGCTAACGATCCCAATCACTTTAAAGGAAATTTAATTTTTGACCCAATTTTTCATTTTTTGTAAGGGGTTGCATCGTTTATTTTTGGGATTCTGATTTTGGTCAAATATACCCATTTTTTAACGGTTTTTTGATTGTAGTTTAGCCAAATCAAGGCGTACAGCAAAAAGACCGACAGTTTTGAGCAGCTAACATCCTAAACTAACGATCCCAATCATTTTAAAGGAAATTTAGTTTTTGACCCATTTTTTCATTTTTTGTAAGGGGTTGCATCGTTTATTTTTGGGATTCTGATTTTGGTCAAATATACCCATTTTTTAACGGTTTTTTGATTGTAGTTTAGCCAAATCAAGTCGTACAGCCAAAAGAATGACATTTTTGAGCAGCTAACATCCTAAACTAACGATCCCAATCATTTTAAAGGAAACTTAATATTTGACCCAATTTTTCATTTTTTGTTAGGGGTTGTATCGTTTATTTTTGGGATTCAGATTTTGGTCAAAAATACTCATTTTTTAACGGTTTTTTGATTGTAGTTTAGCCAAATCAAGGCGTACAGCAAAAAGACCGACATTTTTGAGCAGCTAACATCCTAAGCTAACAAATCCAATCATTTTTAAGGAAATTTATTTTTTGACGCAATTTTTCATTTTTTGTAAGGGGTTGTATCGTTTTTTTTTTGGGATTCAGATTTTGGTCAAATATACCCATTTTTAATCTGTTTTTTGATTGTAGTTTACCCAAATCAAGTCGTACAGCCAAAAGAATGACATTTTTGAGCAGCTAACATCCTAAGCTAACGATCCCAATCATTTTAAAGAACATTTAATTTTTGACCCAATTTTTCATTTTTTGTAAGGTTGCATCGTTTATTTTTGGGATTCAGATTTTGGTCAGAAATACAAATTTTTTAACGGTTTTTTGATTGTAGTTTAGCCAAATCAAGTCGTACAGCCAAAAGAATGACATTTTTGAGCAGCTAACATCCTAAGCTAACGATCCCAATCATTTTAAAGAACATTTAATTTTTGACCCAATTTTTCATTTTTTGTAAGGGGTTGGATCGTTTATTTTTGGGATTCAGATTTTGGTCAAATATACCCATTTTTTAACGGTTTTTTGATTGTAGTTTAGCCAAATCAAGTCGTACAGCCAAAAGAACGACAGTTTTGAGCAGCTAACATCCTAAACTAACGATCCCAATCATTTTAAAGGAAACTTAATTTTTGACCCAATTTTTCATTTTTTGTTTATTTTTGGGATTCAGATTTTGGTCAAAAATACTCATTTTTTAACGGTTTTTTGATTGTAGTTTAGCCAAATCAAGTCGTACAACCAAAAGAATGACATTTTTGAGCAGCTAACATCCTAAGCTAACGATCCCAATCATTTTAAAGAAAATTTAATTTTTGACCCAATTTTTTATTTTTTGTAAGGGGTTGCATCGTTTTTTTTGGGATTCAGATTTTGGTCAAATATACCCATTTTTTAACGGTATTTTCATTGTAGTTTAGCCAAATCAAGTCGTACAGCCAAAAGAATGACATTTTTGAGCAGCTAACATCCTAAGCTAACGATCCCAATCATTTTAAAGAAAATTTAATTTTTGACCCAATTTTTCAGTTTTTGTAAGGGGTTGCATCGTTTTTTTTTGGGATTCAGATTTTGGTCAACAATACTCATTTTTTATCGGTTTTTTGATT